TATGTTTAAATAAAAGCATAACGGTAGTTACCACACTCAGATTACTTGCACATCAAGTATATACAAGCAGTCCTGTATTGAAAGCAGAACTACACCGTCCTTATCCCTTCCAGCCAAAGAAGGCGCCAGCTTGACCTGTATTTGGATTGCGGTTGCCATAGTGATGCACATGTGATCAGCTAGGACACCAGCTATCAGAGCATGACAGTTCGGTTGAGAGCTGTAATAAGCCTTGACAGCTGGCATGCCTTAAAAATAACAGTTTTGGGAGACATTTAATTGATCCGTCAGAAACGGTATTATTGGTTGAAATTTTTCAAGTTTGTCTTGGCAAAATGTTGACCAATAAAGCTGTTTATGATGCTTCAATATGAGACCCTTGAGTGCCTCTTCCACTGGTTTCCTAGCAACAAATGATGTCACGGGTTCTACTCTGCTGTCATTGGTTGCTAAGACTGCTGCATGCTGCAACACATGGTTGGTACTTTGCGCGGTACCGTGCGTTAATCGGTTCGGCTCTCTACAGCCGTCCTAGTTGCTCATGTGGCCCCTCGAGAAAATTAAAATTGTCCAGCCCTAGTATATACTGTATATATACACACACACAGGATCAGTAATGGCGGACAGCACAATCACTGTTGACACAGTGCTCATTGAATGGGATCTGGCCAGTCATTATATATGTAGAAATGATTAGGGCCTTTCTAAAGCCACAGCATGTCTATGACTGACTCAATACTCCTGTAGATCGGCCTGGCTCCAAATCTAGATGAAGAGGGTTGGGAGGAGGTGTGCAGATATAACCTGCTAAGGCTGGTTATGCACGCATCAAAGTTTGGCTGATTGCTGCTGAATTGGAGCCATGGTTGGCCCTTTTGGCACCATCCTGCCCAACAAACTTTGACTGAAAAATCAAAGGAGCCGAGTGGAACATTGTCGGCTGAGCAGTGACTTCAGTCAAACAGCCACAGTCCCTGTTTGGGTATTCAGACAGCGGAGGGTGCAAGCAGGGGAGATTTACTGGGACACTCTGGCCGGACAGGGGTCGGTAGTCACACCCTACATGACCCATTGGGGTGCCTGAAGCAACCAACTAAGGCTGCCCTTTATAGGGATGGCCCTGGTCTGGTAGAAGGTCGGGCCACTACTGTTGCTACTAAAACTTTACTGAAGTTGTTTTTGTATGCAAGGAAATTGATCATTTTAAGTTTTAAGAAGCCTAACCCAACTACATTGCAGGCTTGGAATTCCTCTCCAAACCTATATAAAGCCATCTATGTTAGCACAGGTAAACCATCTAAAGTCAATAGAGTTTTGGTGAGTTGGTTAAACTTGGAACATACCACAACTGATTAATGTTTTTTATCTAAATGTCCAGATACACTGACCTGGGCACATTGACTCATCAGAGGGACAAGGATCAAGTCCCAGGGACCAGAGCATCCAGGGCCTTATAAAGAGGAACTGGAGATCCACCTTCATCACAACCTCCTTTAGGGTTAGGACCCTTTAAATGTCCAATTGGTAAAGGCTGCGGGAAGGTATAATACAGGGGTAGGCAACCTCGGCACTCCAGCTGTTTTTGAACTACAATTCTTATGAGGCATTAAAAGACTCTGACATGACAGGGTTTGTAGCTTCAGAACATCGGTAGTACGCAGGTTGCCTACCTACCAGAATAATGTGTGTACATCCTTCAGGTCTATCCTGTCGTGATGTAGCCATGAATCACCTTCATTCGTAAAATGCATTATGTTATAAAAAAAACAGGTCACATCTGATTTTCGGGACATTGGGATGCATTGGCAGCCCATTCTTTAGGCTGCACTAAAACAACATGTGTTAATAGATAGCAAGGATGTAATTGGGCCCTTCTTGTGGACACTCTCCACAGTCTGCTGAAGAGAAGTCCTCTTTACATATCAGCAAGCAAACGTTAAGCATCTCCAAGCAGTCATTATGTCAAAGTCAACAGCCCATACAAAATAATAATATTTCAATCCAATACAAGGTTGGTTAATATCTCCCTGCCCTAATGTTCCATTTCATATTTCAGAAGGTAAGAGGCATGCATTTAAGATATACTGCTCCCCAGATTCACACTCACCTCCTCTAGGTTGAGAGTCGCCTGATGTCCTGAGAACATGCAGCCTGAACTGTCAGGGCTCTGATGTGGGTCACTTGAGTTTACTAATTGAATTTCGCCCTCCCTCTTGTCATCTTTTCATTCCCAAATTCTCCACCTCCTCCTCCAGATGAGACTTCAATGAGAAAAGACAAATGAGATGGGATGGATGCATGTGACCTCAGGCTGGCTGTGTAAATGCTGTATTTCTTCATGGCAGGGAATTTGCAGAGAGTTCGGCCAACCCTTCTGTTGTAAGAAGGCTGCAGGCATAATGCTGAACAAGTTTCTACGAGGGCTCTGGTCTGCACTAGCTGCAGTCTTTGTACTCTATTGGAGAGACAGCGGACTCATGCACTGGCTACCTAATACACCACAACGGACTAGAAATTGCACCTGCAGAATTTTTGACAATGCAATAAATGAAAATCATTAATGAATGGCACAGCAACATGCGTTATGTATTACCACTGTGCACTAGTGTGAGTGGGCCTTACTTATGCATTGTAAACTCTATTGGAGAGACAGCGGCCTCATGCACTGAAATTAAAAGATTTCTATACCTAGACTCATCTACACCAGTCAGTTCAGTTGCGGTGGGTCTAACACACGTGGGATGAGGTAGTGCAGCCCTTTCATTTCAATGGGCTACCTAATACACCACAACAGACCAGAAATTGCACCTGCAGAATGTTTGACAATGCATGCCAATGCAATAAATGAAAATCCTCAATGAATGGCACAGCAGCACAGCAACATGCATTATGCATTACCACTGTGCACTAGTGCGAGTGGGCCTTACTTATGAATTGTAAACTACAAAAGGTGCTTGTGTGCTTTTGGTGACCTCTACTTACAACCCCCTGGCCTACCAGTCTTGTAAATTAATCACCCAAGATGGATTTTCCCAGACGCATGGTATTGTCCACCCGAGATAAAGCCAGCAGGCATGGGTGTCTGATCAACAGAGCCGACATTATAACGCATATTTATGCTTGGCATGGTCACATTGACCACTTCCCATCTTAGCCTTATCCTGGCTCCACTATGGGGCCTGGTGATCTTAGAGCCAAGGAAATCCTTGAATGAAGAGCATGAATCCCAAGTCCCCTTTGGCTCAACCCTGTGACTTTTGTATGCTCAGCGATTTCACTTTGGTGACCTCTTGTATTAGTATTATTAGCAAGCAGGGAAGGAGAAATAAACAGTTGGCAACTCATCCCATGGTCACCTAGGTACTACAGTTTTTGACATGGACTTCACAAAACCTTTTAAGATTGAAATGCATTATCCGTAGGGAAGCAGTCTTCTGACCCCGGTATATTTTGCTTTCAAAATATGTAAAGACTTGGATTTTAGTTTTCCATGGTGGGCTGGTCACCCCTTTTAGATTCTAGGGTTAAGCAGAGCATTCAAACTAACAGTAAAGAGTAAAAGTGACCGGAAAAACATTTAGTCATTTCACATATCATATCCCACAATGGTGCAAAATATACGAATCAAAGAAAAAGAGGGAAATGTAGGTGTCCAAACCACTCATACTCCACATCAAATGTTACAGTTACAATCAATTATTACTTTATTACAAAATATTGTGTAGCACCTGTAGGCAGGAGTACTATTAAATGTAGTAGTTTCAGATGGTAAGCAGTCTGATCCTGGGTGTACCCTGGCCGCAGAGCAACCAATGATGGACTGCTATGAGTAGATATCCCTCTAAAGCCAATCGCTGTGAGGTTAATGGCCAGTGGTGCATGCTGGGGTAGGAGATAAATACTTGGGGTGGACCACGTGAGCTTTCTCTTCCTCCCCCAGGCCCTGCCTGTGGGGAGGCTGCTATGGACTGTCTGAGATGGCTAGGGCTGAAGCCTGGGCACTAGCCATGTGCTTACACTGAGTATGGAGGCTCAGTGGTTATTTAGGGTTGCCACCTGTCCAGGATTCACCCAGACAATTCGGGTTTTGAATGCTGTGTCCAGGTTTCATGGCAGCAGAAACCCAGACACAAGATGTCAGGCAGACAGGGGCAACCATAATTAAGATAAGGGCTATTGGCCCCCCACTGAAAACAGTCTCAACTGTAATATTTACATATGATTGGGCGGCACTATTTACATATGAATAAGCCACCACTCATTCTCCCCAAAAAATGTCCAGGTGTCGCTTGAGTGTTCGGGTTTCTCTTAAAAAAAAGGTGGCAACCCTATGGTTACTACTGATGACAAGGATGAATATGACTGGTGACTTCTACCTCAAGTGCTGGTGTGTCAGGTGTTCTTCATGTTGTGAATGGAGATACGGCTACCACACCCTGCCACTTAAAGGAGTCTACACCAGCCTGATGATCCAGACCCTGAACCTCTATCCATGAAGTTCATCA